GAAAATTGTTCCTATCCAAGGTTTTGGAGAGGAACAAAGTGTATCCCAAATCTAGGAGTACTTCCCATCCCTGTTCCGGCACCGGCTCCAAATTAAAGCTGGAGCAGATCCCGGATAAATCCCAACCAGGGGGAAATTCCAGAGGGAAATCCCAGGGGGAAATCGCCCATTTCCCTTAAGAATTCCAAGGAAAATTGTTCCTATCCAAGGTTTTGGAGAGGAACAAAGCGTATCCCAAATCAGGAGAACCTCCCGCTCCTCTCCCGGCACCGGATCCAAAGTAAAGCTGGAGCAGATCCCGGATAAATCCCAACCAGGGGGAAATTCCAGAGGGAAATCCCAGAGGGAAATCACACATTTCCCTTAAGAATTCCAAGGAAAATTGTTCCTATCCAAGGTTTTGGAGAGGAACAAAGCGTATCCCAAATCCAGGAGAACCTCCCGCTCCTCTCCCGGCACCGGATCCAAAGTAAAGCTGGAGCAGATCCCGGAGAAATCCCAACCAGGGGGAAATCCCAGCAGGAAAATCACCAGGAATTCGCCCTTTTGGGTACATTTCCGTTAGGAATTCCAAGGAAAACTGAAGGAATTCCAAGGAATTTCGGCACTGGGAGAGGATCCAAGGCCGTTAAATTAAAGCTGGAGCAGATCCCAGAGCCCAAATCCCGGGATACGGAGGCTGGAGACGTGATGAGAAACAGGGACGGGGATGGGAGATCCAACAACATCCCGGGAATCACCCGGAGAGGCGGGAGAGGGAAAAGGGAAGGGTTGGGAATCCTCATCCGCCACATCCCGAAATCCCAAATTCCCAAGGGAAAGGGCTGAAGGCGGAAATCCCGTTTTGTTTAACCCAACGGATCCTTTTCCCGAGAAATCTGACTTCCAGAAAAACCTCTCTCCACAACCCTCTGGAAATCCTGGAATGCTGAGGTTTATCCATAACATTCTGGAAATCCTGGAATGCCGAGGGAAATCCTGGAATGCCAAGGTCGATCCATAACCCTCTGGAAATCTTGGAATGCCGAAGTCTATCCACAACCCTCTGGAAATCCTGGAATGCCGAGTTCTATCCACAACCCTCTGGAAATCCTGGAATGCCAAGTTCTATCCACAACCCTCTGGAATCCTGGAATGCTGAGTTCTATCCACAACCCTCTGGAAATCCTGGAATGCTGAGGTCTCTGCTCAACTCTCTGGAAATCCTGGAATGCTGAGCTCTCTGCTCAACCCTCTGGAAATCCTGGAATGCTGAGGTCTCTCCATAACCCTCTGGAAATCCTGGAATGTCAAGGTCTATCCATATCAATCTGGAGATCCTGGAATGCTGAGGGAAATCCTGGAATGTCAAGGTCTCTCCACAACCCTTGGGAAATCCTGGAATGTCAAGGTCTCTCCACAACCCTCGGGAAATCCTGGAATGCTGAGGTCTATCCAAAGCCCCTGTTGATCCTGGAATTCCGAGCTCTGTGGTGTTCATCCATCGGTGATTCCAGCCGGGAATGCAGTGGGACCGTTTTTGCTCCGGCTCTTTTCCCACCCCAACATCCCATGGATAACAACCCCTCACAGCTCCTGGGAATCTGAACCACCCCCCCTTGGAAAAGGGGCTGGAAAATCCCTGGAGGAACCGGCACGGCCGGGAATGACCCGAGGGGAGGGAACGAGCCCAGTTTGGAAGCTCAGCCCTGGAATTTCCCAGGGAATTCCCCGGAAAGCTCCGTACCTGTGTCCGGAGGGAAGGGATTGGGAGCCGTCCCGGTGCCTCTTCCCGGCTGGGCCGGCCCGCGGCCGTGGGGGCTCCCGGTATTCCCGGGACACGGCCCCGGCCGGAGCTGGGCGGGATCCATGGGATCGCAGAACTCGAAGGGAGCCCGGCCGGCCGGAACGCCCTGCCCGCCACTGAGCGCTGGAAAACAGGGAAAACAGGGAAAAGAGAGTCAGTGCCAAGGGAAAACAGCCACGGGAAGGGAAGGGAAGTTTGGGAAGGGAAGGTTTGGGAAGGTTTGAGAAGGTTTGGGAAGGAAGGGAAGGTTTGGGAAGGTTTGGGAAGGTTTGGGACGGGAAGATTTGGGAAGGTTTGGGAAGGTTAGGGAAGGGAAGGGAAGGAATTCCAGAGTGCTTTGGGTTGGAAGGGGCCTTAAGGATGATCCCATTCCAAACCCTGGCTGTTGGCAGCTCCTCAGGGAGTGGCTCAGGGAAGCACCAACACTCCACAGGGAATAAACTCCTAATTATATGAGAGCATTGGAGATTGGGAAGGGATTCCTGTCTGGGAGGGTGGGGAGGGGCTGGGCTGGAATTCCCAGAGAAGCTGTGGCTGCCCCTGGATCCCTGGGAGTGTCCAAGGCCGGGTTGGATTCCCTGGGATAGCGGGAGGTGCCGGGGTTGGAACGGGATGAGCTTTTCCCTCCCTCTGCTCACCCTCCTCTCCCTCCCATCCCAAATCCATCCCCTCGGGATGGGCCACCTACGGGTGAGTCCCGTGGGAGCTCTGGCCGCGGTGCTGGGCTGGAGCGGCGCCGCCAACAGCTCCGGCTTCACCGGCACTCCAGACACTCCGGACACTCCGGACAC